CACATTCCAGATATTTTGAGAACAGCCTCAGGAAAGGCTATCTCTGGAATCAGATATCTCCCTTAGCCACTTTCAAGGACTAGCAGTAACAACAGTCCACATGAAAGTCTCCTGATTTAAGGTAAATTCCACAAGAAGACACCACCTAGGCCAGGTGGATGTTAAATAATAGCTTTACACAATTTAGCTCAGATCCTCATTTCTTACAGCCTTACTAACTTTATAGACCTTTATCTCCTTACCGTTAACCAGTTTTAGGAATATTTAGATAACTTTTGTGCTGACAGCTATGCTCAGGCAGAACCCCAGTTCATCATTGGCAGCATCCGACCAGGTCCATCCCCATATGGAGGAAAGTACCTTATCAGAAATAACTGTACTCTCTGAGAACAGACTTAAGCATCCAGGTTACCTGTTTGAGAAAGCCTGGCAGATGTGCCAATTAAGCTTTACTTCCTCCTTTCCCAAACCTTACCTCTAGTTCCAGATGTCCCTTTAACTATCACCAGAGGCATCTAGCTGTACACAGGTTGCCTAGCGACCAAGCACACTTTCCCCCACCCTGCAGAAAAAAACGACAGATAGATTGGAAAGATAGGAGCCACAGGAAAAAAGAAGACAGTTTTATTTTCTCCCATTGACCTAGCAACTTACAGATTCTTAACGTTTTCTACCAATTATGTTTAAGACTATAGTTGAACACATAAGATCCCTCTTCTTAGATATTACCTGAATTTAGCCTTTAGTTAATTCATTTCCCCATTGGTCATGGGGTTGCAAATGATAATTAATGGTTATTGCCCCTCTATGTGATTCTTATCACCCCTCCATTTGACCCTGGAAGCCTGGCTTTGCACAGCCAAAGAATTTACTGCTTGTAAGTGTATATATACCAGGACTTTCAGGGCATGAGGGATGGAGAAGAGAAAAAAGGATGGAAGAACTAGATGGGTAAGAACTTGAGAGGAACAAACTGAGATGGGGGAGAACTAGATTGAAGGGCTAGAACAGAGTACTAGAGGAACGGGATGGAAGATGAGGAAGAGCCAGATGGGAAATAACAATATGAGGAAGAACAAGATGAGAGAGAAGGAGATGAGAGAGGAGATAATATGGGAAAGAACCAGATGGATGAGAACCTAGAAGGGCCAAAACTAGATGAAGGAATTGAGATAGAACCTGGAGGGGACAACAGATAAATGTAAAGAGAAATTGGGCAAGAAAGGAGCTAAAAATGAGAGCAGAGTATAAGCTTGTAGAGAGAGAACTGACAGAATAATAAAGTGTATGGACCAAGGAATTTTGTGTACATAGATTCATTTCTTTTCTTCAAAGATTAATTATCAACTGGCTGTAGATTCTCCTCGGACCCTGGGAGGTGACTATCCAGGAGCTGGACCCCCATAGTCCTTGATAGTTATATGCAAACTACTTCATTTTCCAAAAGTAGTACATATAATTACTGTGATAAATATAGTTAAATTGAAAGCATAATATTCTTTCCCATCGATGTTATATAGCATTAGTGCAGACATAATATCCACTCACATCTCTTACTTTTGAGACTGTTTGTGATGGCTATGCTTGGTTTTCAACCTGAGACACCTAAGAGGGATCCTCAGCTGGGTAATTGCCTCCATCAGAATGGCGTGTGGGCATTTTCTTGATTGCTAAGAAAGACCCAGGCCATTATACACTGTACCATCCCTAGACAGGTGGGCCTGTGCTATATAAGAAAAGTAGAGAGGGGTCTCTAGAGATGGCACAGCATCAAGAACAGCACTTGTTACTCTTACAGAGGACCAGAATTGGTTCCCAGCATATACATGGCAGTTCACAATCATCCATAACTCCAGTTACAGGGAATCCTTCACATTCTTCTAGTATTTGCAGGCACCAGCCATGCATGCAGTGCACTTACATACATGCAGACAAAATATTCATGCTGTCTCAGTTAGGGTTTCTATTGCTGTGAAGAGACACCATGACCATGGCAACTCTTATAAAGGAAGACATTTAATTGTGGTGGCTTGCTTACAGTACAGAGGTTTAGCCCACTGTCATCATGGTGGGACATGGTGCCATCCAGACAGACATGGTCCTGAAGAAGTAGCTATGAGTCCTACATCTTAAAGGCAACAGGAAGTGGTTTGAAACACTGGGTAGTATCTTGAGCATATGTGAGACCTCAAAGCCCACCTCCACAGTGACACACTTCCTCCAATGAGACCACACCTACTCCATCAAGGTCATGCCTCTGAATAGTGCCACTCCCTTTGGAGGACATTTCCTTTCAAACCAGCACATATGCATAAAATAAAAACAAAAATCTTTCAGAAAGAAAGAGGTGGGGGGTGGGGGAGTGGAGGGTGGGAGAGAAAATCAGTTGGCTGAATGTGAGCCTAGGAGCAAGACATGCAGTGTTCCTCCATGGTCTCTCTTTCAGTTTCTGCTTCAAGTTCCTGCCTTGGCTTCCCTTAATGATCACAAGTAAGAAGAAATAATCCCTTTCTTCCCCAGGTTGTTTTAGGTCAGTGTTTTATTACATCAAAAGGGAAATAAACTAGGACAATGGGTCTTGCTATATAGTCTGCTCTGGTCTTGGACTTATGACACTCTTTCCTCAGCTTCCAAGGGATGGTACTTTACATATGACCTCCATGCCTGACTTCTCTGGGGTTTCTTGAATATGATTATTTGTAAATATTTGCCTATAGGTCAAAGACAATAAATGTTAAATTTTATAATGTACTTCCATAATATTTTTGAAGCCAAAGGCACTTGTGATTGTGTCTTTCTCTGACGGACAAAGGAGTGCACATAAACACACAAATACATACCAAATACTCAGTGATAGACAAAGCCAAAGGTGCTAGAAAGTGGGAGTGGGACCTCTCATGTGACATAGACTGACAGATTTTTGTGACACAATATAAACTATTGAAAGGTGATTAAGACAACTACCAATATTTGTGCTGAGTGTGGCATTGTGGTTCACACTTATAATATTGGCACTCAGGAAGAAGAGGTAGAAGAATCTGGAGCTAGAGGTCATCTCTGGCTACAAAGTAAGTTTAAGGCTGTTCTGGGCTACCTGAGATGCTTTCTCAAAACAAAAATGTTCAGCATTTGTACTGTTGGTGCATCACTAAGAAACTCAGGTTTTGTCTGTTCTCTAAAAAGATAGGGCTTTTCAAGTGTTTTGTTGGGGATTTTTCTTGTAATTAAGTGAAGGTAACTGAACTCATTCAAGTATGTTTTTTTTCCTGTTCAAAGAGTGAATCCAGAAAGCACATAATCATCTCCCCCCCGACAAACATATCCACTGTCTAAGAACACCTGGATTTTATTGTATTTAAGTTAAGATGTCAAAACCATGAGATTTATCTCTAAAAACAAAAACTAACTCAGTATACTTGTTACTGATAAATGTGTGTGTGTGTGTGTGTGTGTGTGTGTGTGTGTGTGTGTGTTTGCAATAGTATTGCTTTACTCAAATACCTTTCATTAAAAGAAATGACATTTTTTTCATATACCTGTTTTAATAAAATTCACAGTTCAAATTAATGCAATAAAGACAACAAATTATCAATAAAGGCTTTTAAATATTAAATAAGAATTATAAAACTGAACACAGTATACAAATATCTGTTAAACATATCACTAAAATCATATACAATAAAGTTATTATTTTTCACTGGTACTGAGATATAATTTTCACAATTAAATGTTTCCTATGCAATGTTAACCATATAAAAATAATATTCCTAGCAAAAATATGACACAGTTTTAAATATTCCATTTAAAAATATATGATTTAAAGTCTCTTTTAAAATGATACTATGAATTTTTGTTTACACAAAGGTAAGCTAAGAAAGCCTCCATTCTCCGAAGAATACCACTCATCAGTTAAATCAAGAAAGCCTCCATCCTGCTGCAGGACGCCACTCATCATTTACTCCTGGGAAGTTACTATATGTAGGTTCATATGAAGCTCAACATTAAATATGATTCCATATACTTTTTCTTCAAATTAGATTTGCATCTTATAAAATGTCTGAAGTAAAAAAGAGAATAAAAATAGTAAGAACATGGTTTTCAACACACATAAAATATTTTGACATTTTTAATAGTTACATTTTATAATATCTTTTTTTGAAATATAACCCTGAGAAAGCAGGCTCATGTGCTGACAGAAAGGAGGGGATTTTGTACAGAAGGAAAACGATGTTCTTCCTGTTGACAGCAAACAAATAACTCACAAAATATTCCTAAAACATATTTCACTGGAATATTGTGATTATAATCTCTTGATAAATAATCTGAAACAGGGCTGGAGAGATGGTTCACCAGCTAAAAGTACTGTTTGCTCTTCCAGGGAATCCAGCTCTATTCCCAGCCCCCACATGGCTGCTCACAGCTCCAGTGCTAGGCATACACAAGGGTAAAAAACCCATACACATAAAAGTAAATATAATCTCAAATATATAATAATCTGAAACAGACATTTACACAGAATATTATCTTACTTGATGTAACTGCTTAGAGGACATTTTAAATTAACTGAGCAGAATAGCACATTTAGAATCAAGTTTGAAGCAGACTAAAAAAGCCCATTAGTAAGTGCCACAGGTGTTGTGTTATGCCAAGATTAGCTCCTGGGCTTTTAGACTCTTCAAAATTTTCTCTTTAAAAATTATTTTTTTGTTTAAGTTCTTAGTTTTTGAGACAGGGTCTCACTAATAATGTAATGAGGTCACTCTCAGACTCCCCTGACTTAGTCTCTTGAGTGCCAGAATTTGGAATTTGGGATTGCAGGAAAAATTTTCTTAAAGACAGAGTATAAGGGTTGGTGGTACAACTTAGCATTTTTCTCCTGTGTGCACATCCTGAATTTGATCCCCATCACCTTGGGGGTGGGTGAAAGGACAGGGAATAGGTAACAAAAACACTCTTAGGATAATAAAAATAAATAGGTAGATACTCACAGGGTAAGTTTCCTAGGTCTGGGAGCACAGTGGACTCACAGCTAATCTCATCAGCAATCTAGCACATCTTTTATAATCTAGAAAGGCCATTTAAAGGTAATAAAACATATAGTTAATCATTGCAAATGAGAAAGAAATAATGTTATTGTCATTGATTGATGTCACCATCATAGCTCTAAAAGCACCTAACATTTTAAATGCTCAACATGGGTTTTGTTCTTCATTCCTCTTAAAAGATATGGAAATTTGATGCCTTCACTTTATAGATGAGAAACCACCTTCAAATGTGACTTATCTCATAGTAGCCAAGTGGTTTACTTCTCAAAACTGCCTTTTCTCCACCAAACTATGCTGTCATCCAGTGTCATTGCCTTGAATCTCTTACTGGCAAGTTGAGGTTTTTTTTTTTTTGTTGTTGTTGTTTTTGTTTCTGTTTTTGTCAATGTGATACAGACTAGAGTCAACTGGGAAGAGGAAACCTTAGCTGAGGGATCACCTCCATTAGGTTGTCCTGTAGGTAAATCTGTGGGGCATTTTCTTGATTAATGATTTACTAGGGAGGGCCTAGACCACTGGGGTTGGTATCAACCCTGGAAAGGTGTTTCTGGGATGTATAAGAAAGCAGCAAGTCAACAGAATCAAACCAGTAAGCAGCATTCCTCCATTGTCTTTGCTTCAATTTTGGCCTTGAGGTCCTGCCTTGAATTCCTGTTGGCTTCCATCAGTGATAGAGTGTGATGTGGAAGTGTAAGCTGAAATAAATCCTTCCCCACACTTGTCAGTGTTCTATCACAGCAACAGAGAAGCAAACTAGAATGAATCTAGTGTGCTTAATTTTCCCTAGTCACTAAATGTAAGAGTTTTTTCGTTTTTTTTTTTTTTTGTGGAAAAAATATAAAAATCTGACTCAACATTCTAAGTAAAGTTAAATACTCCTCAAGGTCATCTAGATGACTAGAAACAAAATGCTCAGAAGTCACTCACTTTAAAAAGAAATTTTAGATTTAGAAAGGAATTTGGAACAGGCAACTCAACTACCACATATTATCATAACTGGGCATTTTGAATAATAGCCCTTTCATGCTATGTTTGGAATTATTATTAACTCCATTAACTTAAGTATTCAAAAGAACTCATTGCCCAACAGGCTATCATCATTCAGGGAAACCCAGCAAACACTGTACAAATGACATTATATAAAAACATTTACTTCAAAATAACTTCAGAAGAGATGTTGACTTGCACTTTATAGTCAGCTCACTTTTTTTTTTCATTTATATGAGAAGTCACTTTATTTATACCAAGGAATTTGAATAATGATAAAAGGTTTCTGTCCTGACAAACATTCTAGTCTTTAAGAAAACTTGGCTATTTTCAGATTTGGAAATGCTCCCAACCAGAATCCGATCTCTCTTTATAGTTTCAACAGTACACACAACCTTGAGTGCTGAAAGGTTATAAATAGCATCCAATGCAATGTTTAGTCTATTGTGTCCCACCCAAAGACAGTTGAAGCTTGAAATTATATGCATTCATTGTTGGATTAGTTTTTTTTTGTTTTTTCTAAAATCTGCCCAGGCAACTTACAAGCTGGCATTGAGCAATCCCTGGTATTGTGATAAAGTCGATGGAAGTGTTTGCTACATTCAGCTGAAAATGTAACAGGCCCTAGAGAAAGGGAAAGAATGCTTATTATAAACACAGGCGTGTTCCCCAAACAAGTTTCTAGCACTCTATGGACGGAGATGGTGTAACTGTAGATTCCATCCTTCCTGCCCTTTAAAGAACTGGCCTGAGAATTCCTTCCTTTACCCAGACTCTATGGGAGGCGCTGAACTTTGATCTAAGTTCACTCTACATTCTCAGTATATCACATCATGGAACCTTCTGGACTAGTAGAACTCTGGAGGAACTGAAAGGGGGCACTCCAGACAGAAGGGGAATGCAGAGAGCAAACCAAGAGGGAGTGGCTTTCTGGTCCCTTGATTTTTTTTATACTTATTGGGAAGTAATGTTTCTAGTGATGACATTTGTTTTTAATTGAAGCAATGTGTGTTCCTTAGTGGAAGGCATTACTGTGAAGGGGGTAGGGCCTTGAAACTGCAGCAAAACTTTCCTCCTTCCGCCTGGTCCACAGCTTCTAACACTTAGTGCTGCCTTTCTCATCGGCACCCTTTGAAAGTTACCATCTGGGTATAGTTGTGTTGGACTGTAATTCTAGAACTTGGGATGGGAAGGTAGGCCATGAGGTTTCAACAAAAAAATGCAGGCAACTGAGGAAAGCTGCGAATAGGAAATGTGGCCCTCCCCAGGGAAGAACATACCAATTGCTTGTTCAATGCCAAACGATTAGCCCCCAAAACATGCACACAGGTAACATTATATGGACTCAATAGGTTATATTTAAGAATGTATATATATACATACATATATGCATGCAATAGCAATTGATGAAAAATGGGGTGATTGATTTGAAGGAGAGTGGGGAGAGGTATACGAGAGGGTTTGGAGGGAGGATAAGAAAGGGAGAAATGTTATAATTAAACTGCAATTTTAAAAGTAAACAAACAAACAAACAAACAAAAAAGCATCCAAGCTGGGTGTGTGTGTAACATAAGCTCATCTGTCTCCTGTTTATAAAGCCTCAATCACTGGCTGAAGCAGTCTAAATTCTTCAGCATGCTCCAGAAGGTTATTTGCCATCTGGTTTGTTCACACACCTTCCTAGCCCACTAGCCAAATGCACCTCCTTTTTAAATTTACCCTTCATCCCCAGTTCATCCACACCATCTGACTGTCCTCTCCCACTATAGCCTTTAAGTCTTGCTCAGTAGGTTCCTCATGAACAGACTCTCCTACTTTAAAGTCAAACTTAGAAAGCATGTTCCACTGCAAGCCCTCATAGTCAGATCTCAGTAAATTATCCTTTTTATTTTTCTTTAAAATATCCTTTATGTTCTATTGCTTATCATGTTCTAGTGCATATTACAGATCATACAAGTTAATAGTTGACTGAAAACCCAGCTGAACTCAAGCTTCTTCTAGACATTAATCTCCATAGTTTAATTGTCTTATGGATTCATTCTACATAAAACCGTTCATTTGTAACTGAGTCACTGAAATAGTATATGCTTACCTGTGAAATGCTTTATGAATTTGTCTTTCAAGGTCAAGTCTCTTGGGAATATTTCTGAAAAGAAAAAAAACCTTCGTAATTTCCAGGGTAGATTTCCACTATTAAAACATAATTATAGCACTAAATACATAGATCCATGCAGTATGCACAGCAGATCTCAAATCCCTGGGATCTGGCCCTAACCATTCTCCAGGGCTCTAGAGCTCTAGCAGAACTTATTGCTTCTCTACACCTCTCCCATAGAACCCTACAGACCTCTTACCAATGTAGAGCTACTTCTGAATATGTGATTTTCGGGTTTCCCAGAGCTTCCCCAACCGTGTTCTCCTGTCTTAATGAATGGCATCATTTTTTTAACCCTTGCATAGCTGTGATGATTTGAATGATAATGGCCCCCATAGGCTCATAGGGAGTGGCATTATTTCAAAGTGTGACCTTATTAGAGAAGGTGTGGTGTTGTTGGAAAAGCTGCATCACTAGAGGGTGGGCTTTGAGGTCTCAGATGCTCAAGCCAGGCCCAGTGGCTCACTTGCTCTTCCTGCTGCCTGTCAATCCAAGTGTAGACTCCCAGCTACCTCTCCAGCATTATGTCTGCCTGCATGCCACCATGCTTCCTGCCATGACAATAGTGGACTAAACCTCTGAACTATAAGCCAGTCCCAGTGTAATGTTTTCCTTTATAAGGGTTATAATGGTTATGGTGTATCATCACAGCAATAAAACCCAAACTAAGATAATAGCCCACCTCACCAAGTTATGCTTGACTGCCCCTTTTCTTCTCCACTTCATCTAATCGAGTTAGTTTATGTACTCCATCTCCAAACATTCATATGGGGTCTTGCATTTCTATCATCTACTAACTCTGGCTGGCCCAGCTATCATACTTCTGTGAGTATGCTTGGAAAACAGCCTCCTAACCTGTCTTGTCCTCTCTATAATGCTTTCTCCAGAACAACAGCTAGAGCAAGTGAGCTGAGATACTCTTTAGGTTATTTATGAGATGGACCCATTTACAAGCTTTAGCTTGGAGTGAAACACAACTTAAAGGTCAGACTTCACTTCAGACTTCACTGGTACTCGCTAAAACATGCCATCCAGAAAATGCAGTTTATAATGCATTAGGAGCACACACAATGAATGTAGTAGAGGAGAAAAATAAACTTAATAAATACTTGAACCTCAGGGTTTGTTGCCAGTTGTCTATTTACTTTTTCTTAAGAATATGATTTGCAATTACTGTCTTAGTTAGGGTTTCTATTACTGTGAAGAGATGCCATGATCACAGCAACTCTTATGAAGGAAAACATTTAATTGAGGTGGCTTAGAGTTCAGAGGTTTAGTCCATTATCATCATGGTGGCATGCAGGCAGACATGGTGCTGGAGAAGTTGAGAATTCTACATCTTTGATCCACAGGCAACAGGAAGTAAACTGAGACACTGAATATGGCTTGATTATATGTGAGACTTCAAAACATGCTTCCATGATGACACACTGCCTCCACAACAAGCCACACTACTCCAACAAAGCCACAGTTCCTAATAGTGCCACTTCCTTTGAGCTTGTGGGGGGCCAATTACATTCAAACTATCACATTCAACTACTTGGCCCTCATAAGCTTGTAACAATATCATAATGCAAAATTCATTTAGTCCAACTTTAAATGTCCCCATAGTCTGTCACGTTCTCAACAATGTTTTAAGGTCCAAAGTTCAAAGTCTCTTCTGAGATTCATGCAGTTTCCTAACTGTAATCCCATATAAAATAAAAATAAAAATAGATCACATTCTTCTAACATACAATGGCACAGGATATATATTACAGTTCCAAAATGTAGAGAAGGGAGCATAGTGAGGAAAGACTGGACCCAAACAAGACCAAAAACCAACTGGGTAAACTCCAAACTCTGCATCTCCATGTTTGATGTGAAAATACTCTTCAGATGTCCAATTCCTTTCAGCTTTGTTGACTGCAGCATACTTATTTCTCTTGGGCTTGTTCCACTCCTTGTTAGCAGTTTCCTTCAGCAGATATCCCTTGATTCTGGCATCTTTAACATCTTGGGTTCTCCAAGGAAATCCAGGCTTCAACTTCACAGTTTCATACAATGGACTCTCTGGCCTCCATTCAGGGACACCCCTGACACATAACTGACCTCAGTGGCTTTCCTTAGTTGAGGAAGCAAATTCCATAGCCCCTTTCTTCTATCCTTAACTCCAGAACCATGTGGCCAAAGCTACCATATTCCACTGCTTACTGAACCTGAAACATAGCCCCCTTGTTCACTTATATCTTCACCAACTTTCTTCACTGCCGAAGCTTGGCTGTTCTTGAACTTGCTCTGTAGACCAGATTGGCCTCAAACTCAGAGATCCACCAGCCTCCACTTTCTGAGTGCTAGGATTAAAGGCATGCACCACCACACCCTATTTTAAGCTTTTCTTTAATTCCTTTTTGCTAGTTGGAAAGTTAGTTGGGTGGGATCTTACTCTGAGGTCACCATTTCCTTTATTTCATTTCTTAATCTGTTTACCTCCTTGAACACAGGACTTAGCTCCATTCCACTTTCTGATGTCCATTTTCTACTCAAATTGTACATTTTGTGTTTTTCCTTGCTAAACTTGCTCCTTTTCATTATGAATCTGTATAAGAGTGACCAATAATAACAACACAACAGAGTCAATATTAGGCTGTTTTGAGATTTCCTCTGCCAAAAGAATTATTAAAAACTCTTCACTTTAGCTGGGTGGTGGTGGCATATGCCTTTAATCCCAGTACTCAGGAGGCAGAGCCAGGCAGATCTCTGTGAGTTTGAGGCCAGCCTGGTTTACAGAGCAAGATCTAGGACAGGCACCAAAACTACACAGAGAAACCCTGTCCTGAAAAAGAAAAAAAAAAACAACTCTTCACTTTAGCCTCAGGAAGACTCTTCTGACAAGGACAAAATGTAGTCACTTTCTTTACCAAATATCACAAGAATGATCTCTAGGCAACTTATTTATATCCTTCTCTTCTAAAAGCTCTTGAATCAGGCCCCCACAGTTCATCAAATCACACTCAGCACCAGGGTCTTTCATGTTGTTACTAGGATGGCCCATTGAGCAGCATTTAAAGTATTCACAACTGTTTTTCTAATCCATAGACCCATGGTTCATATTCCTTAAAACAAAAGCATGGTCAGGCATATCACAGCAATGTCCCAAGCCCTGGTTCCAACTTCTGTCTTAGTTAGGATTTCTATTGCTGCAAAGTGAAAAGATACCATGACCATGATATGGTGACATTTTATTTGTACTGAAATGTGATTTTATTTGTATGTTAATAAATAAAGGTGCCTGGGGGTCAGAGCTAATAGCAAGCCATACCAGAGCTGGGCATTGGTGGCACACACCTTTAATCCCAGCTCTTGGGAGGCAGAGCTAGGCGGATCTCTGTGTGTTCAAGGATACAGCCAGCATGGAGATACATGCCTTTAATCTCAATACCAACCATAGAAGACCTGGAGGTCTGTACAGATGGGCAGAGATGAGGAGGTCATGTGGTTGGGTTTACAACCAATGAGAAGGCAGAACAGAAAGTCTATATAAAGACAAACACACAGGAAGTAGGTCTCTTGGCTGAAGAGGATAGCTGCAACAGTGAAGGGTAAGGCTCTTAGCTCTGACCTCTTGGGCTTTCATCTTTGCATTGACTCTGTGTTTCTTATTTTATAAGATGATTACTTCTACACCATGGCAACTCTTATATAAGGAAAAAATTTAATTGAGGTGACTTACAGTCCAGAGGTTTATTCCATTATTATCATGGTGGATCACAGTGGCATGCAAGCAGACATGGTGCTAGAAAAGGAGCTGAGAATTCTACGTCTTTGATCTACAGGCAATAGGAAGTGAACTGAGACAGTGGGTGTGGCTTGGGCATATATGAGACCTCAAAGCCCACCCCCCCCACAGTGCCACACTTCCTCCAACAAGGCCATACCTACCTGACAAAGTCACAGCTCCTAATAGTGCCACTCCCTATCAGCTAATGAGAGGTGGCAATTACATTCAAACTACTACATTTGCTTATTTATTTTGTGTATGCTTGATATAGCATGCATATGGAGGTCAGAGGACAACTTTCAGGTGTTTGGTTCTCTCCTTCCAGCATGTGGGTCCCAGATATTAATCTGAAGTCATCAGGCTTGACAGCAAACACCCTTACTCACTGAACCATCTCACTGGCCCCACCAATTGTACATTTAGACTTATGACTTCTTTATAAACCACACATAACATGAATGCAGCATGGAAGACATATTTGTCACCTATAGATGACAGAGTTCATGGAAATGGAGCAATGTTGATGGAATCTCAGGGGGTCTATGACAGCCCTTTATATCCCAGGAGGTGAGAAGTAGACAAGACCCTTTCTGACAGAATAACTACTATTGCCAGAAGTGTATAAGTTCAGAGCATGAGTGAGTGAAGAGAGAGGAGGCAAGAGTTCAGGGATCCAAGCTTTGCTTCTATGTGACAACAAAAACCTGCACTTTAGAAATAATCAAAAACTAGTTGTTTGGAGCTGGAGAGATGAATGAATGGGTAAGAGCACTTGCTGTGCAAGCATTAAGATTGAGTTCAAATCTCCAGTTCCCATGTCAAAAAACTGAGCACTGGTGTTTAAACCTATAACCCCATCACTGGGGCAAGAGATGGGCAAATCATTAGTACTCAGTAGCTGACAGAACATCCTAACCAAAAAACCATGCTTCTGATTGAGACCCCATCTCAAGGAAATGAGGCAGATAATGATAGAGGGAGATATTCAATGCCCTCCTCTGGCTTATACGTGTATACACATGGATGCACACACCTGCACAACCACATGCACACACAAGACACACTGATACAACAGTGCTATCTACATAGTCTGCAAATTACGTATATGATAGCACATGCATCGCTTCTTATCACACAAAGTTTTTCTTATTTCTACATGTCCCATTGACCAATCAGAGCATTTCGGAGTTTCTTATAAGTACATCAGACTTTGTTTTCCAATAGAACATGG